ATCAGTTGGATGTTCAATTCTTACCCCATGCCAGCTTTTTGCACAAGATAATCATCTCTCCCACCCCGGAGCTCCTCCCCTAACTTTTAGGAGGGGAGGAATCCATCTCTGCGAGCTCTAAGCATCTGTCGCCGGTGTCAGGGACGCAGAGCACAAAAGGGCGCTGGCACCCCCAAACTACATTTTCACCTGAAAAGGCTTTAATTGGAATTCAATAAACATCACATTTCAGCAGTAATCTAGCAGTTCTATTTCGACTCAAATCCGAAATTGTGAAAATCAACGAGCATTCGTATGAATACGATGATCAGGTTACTTCTAGTTGATTTACTGCGAAATTTTATTGCTGGCTACATCTGAAAGAACATCCAGCAGACCTAATATCTCCTACCAATCAATTCCTATTTTTTCCAGATCTTTACGATCATGTCCGAAGTGTTGCGGGCACACGTTCGCTTGCCGTTGCCTGTACCGGCTGGAGCACAGATCGATCGGCCCATGATCAAACTACTACCGGATCGAATAATATTCGCCACCGATTTCGTTTTCAAAGGAGGATGAAAAATCAATGAAAAACTCTCATAATAAGATCAATATGTGTACATAATTGCAATATTGTTAGCAATGAAAACTTCCTAACAGTTCGACTACTCCACAGTATTGCAACTTAGACGTTCAAAGTCGATCATGATGGTGTAGTTGTTGAAGAACGAAAATGGATGTGGGAACATCAGTCAATCCATGAATTATCAAACAACCGGAAAGAAAAGTCAGGAAGAGGTTTTCAATTTCCCAGTAACTTTACTTTGCTTCGTATCAACATCACGAAAGGACTGGATCACTTTATGGGTTCATGCGCGTTGCTCGCGGCTACTGAGCGAAAGGCGGGACTTCTTTGTAGGGGCGGTGCTCGTGCACCAGTGGGTCCCGAAAATTAGGTAGCGCCCAAAAATTACATAAATGAAGCATCTGCAAAGCTGTTAAACACCATTGTATGACACTCTTCTGAGTGAACGCTTTGTTAACTTGCGGCGGCTACCCACTACGACATGAATAGTTGAAAAACGACTGATCTAATGAGAGGGTCAAGAATATCAATCTATCGAATTTGACGGCGTTCCGCTCGGATCTTCATCGACTACCTTCTCGATTTCTTAGCAAACCGTTTTTAAGCCTCCTATTCTCAAACATTGTCCGATTTCTTGAATCTTATCAGTAATTTCAGATTATAGCGTATTGCTGCGAGATTTATACGCGATTTGAAAAATCCCTCTCCGAAAGGATGAGGTTACTGGCATCATAGATATTTCGAAGCGTTTTTGTTTTCTGCCCATTTCCGTTAAGCCCCATCAAAGAAATGTAATATAGTGTCACACTAGCATTACATTTTTGAAAGTTAATTGTTATAAGTTGAGGGGGAAATGAGAACGTAGCACTAGGTCCCATAACTCTCATCTGAACCCTGAAACCTCGAATTCGGCAGATTTGGAAACTGGTCCTACTACTTTCTAACCCAGAAACAACATCAACAGGTGGGTCGGCACATGCCAACGCTGTCAAGTAGCCCGTGCGGCGATCTGGTTTTGTCACGCGGCGATGGCAGCCATCTCCCCATCAGTTGCCGCTGCGGGTCCGAGCAAGCCTAAAATCGGAAGTGGGAGCAGATTAAAAAACGGCTTTATAAATACAATTTATATGAATAAAAAAATTGACTTTGACCTTATTTCTCGTTACCGTAATCGTTTTATTTGCAACTAAGTGAGAGGCTCTTCAGTCTCTTACTCGCCGTAACTAATTCATTTCGAAGAAATCCGTGGAATGGATAGGACCGAAAAAGGCTCATACTGAATACGAATTGTTTAATTTTTCCTCAGGCTATATTTTACGCCAGAACTTTCCAGAAGGTACAATGAGACAACATCGTCTGATTTGCCGTAATCCTGATCTCAAGAATCCTTCTCATATGTCATTTACGCTACCATCAACTGAAACTTCAGGCACAGGTGAGCTTTACGTGAACAAGACACTTGGGCTGTTTTATCATTCGTACGGCCTTATAAATTCATGATAAAATAGAAAAAACACTACTTGTTTTCTCAATAGTTCGATATGAACTTTAACTAATTGCACATTCTATACCAATTATAAAACAATTCATTTCCGGCATTGAAATCAGTTTTTAGTGGGACCGTAGGCCAAAAAACGCCATCGCAGATGCGACGCCGCGCGCGGCGACCTCTTCTTATCGCGGTAGGATTTCTTCTACAGGTCAAATCTTGACGGCACTTGCTCGCCGCACTAAGTGACCTAGTTTCGACGAGGCGACCTCGTTCGCGCTTCCTGACCAGTATCCTGAGAGAGTGCAACTTCAAGCATCTTTGAAGCACTTTTCATGCAAAACGCTGTTACGCTGAAAAAAAAAAACCAAAATGGATTTCTGCATTAACTTCAATACGCAGCCGACATGAGGAGTTTCAATGAATAAAGCCAAGAGAGACCCATCTATCATAACACCTGTGCGTGAAATGAAAATTATCTATCCATCTATCACAACCCCTATTCATGAAATGAAAATTTACTAATGCTCGTAAGTGAGGGGGAATGCATAGACGCCACAGGCTTTCTAAGCAGCTGGTTTCTTTTACAAAAAAAANGAGGACTAAGTAAAGGTGGTTTAAAGCTCCGCCAGTCATGGCCTTATAGTCCTGACACGAAAGGAGTACGGTAATTAGCGGGCATCTTTTAAAGCAAGACCGACAGGTTGGAAGAACTGCCGAGGTTCAAATTATGGAGCCACAGGAAGGTAAATGTCTTTGCATGAATATTTGGTGAACGTCAAAATAAAATTTCGCAATTCCACATTAGCCCACCAGGATGGGCAGGAGAGAGATAAACACGCGCTAACCGGCAGGTCGCTGCAGGACCCAACACTCCAGGCTCTCCTCGAGGATGTAAAGACAAGCTGTTTTTTGTTGTTGAGCGTCGGTTCCGGTTACTGTAACCCTTATCTGCTTTCGTTCTAGCATATCCAACCATCATTGAAAACATTCGTTTTTGAATTTATGAAAATCTATATTTAACGATAGAAATGACCACCCCTCGGCCAAGGAAACTCCTTTGTGCTTCTTAATCATGTAGAATTACGGAGCTTAGGGAATTTCATTTTGATGGTGTTTTGCACAGGTCGGCTTCTAGTAAATTCTTCTGTGATTTCAGCGAAAGAAGACAGGGAAGAAAAGCCGTTATCTCAAAATCCCGCATTAACCAGGCGTCCTATCGTTCGTGCATATCGTTTCAAGTAGGTTTTTAACTACAAGTATGTCTTGTCTCTGCTGGCATATGGGGGTTCTAGGCATTTGGGGACTTTGTAGTGGTGTTTTGGGTTGAATGAAAGTGTCGCAGTTTTTTTGTTCCTGTTCAGTCTCACTTATTTCATGAACTTACTCTAATGTAACGGAATAGGAAGTGCCCGAAATACACGGCTGTTGTATTCCTCATAGCATTAAGTTTCTGAAACTGTTTGCTACTATAATAAGCAAATATGGTGGGACTATTTCTTGCGAATTCTACGTCACAGACTTTTCAATGTGACAAGGAACAAAGTTGAAGGGATGAGATTCCCGCTCTAAGCAAACTTCTAGAAACTTCCAAGAGTTCTAGGAGTTACCTTCAACCAAAAACCTCTGGGGTTTTTTCGAACGTTAACTAGAGTTCTCGAATTTTCTATTTCTATAGTTTTCAAATGTGTTGTAACTACGTACGAATATTTCCTTATTGACAGTCAGCTTTTGTATTACAGAAAAGAGTCATCCATTTGTGGTGTGACGTGTTCGTGCTGTTACCATACCATTCTCAAGCCGACAAGGAAGAGAAAGATCAGTCCAGGATCATCGATAAGTGCCTCTGGTCCCTCGCCTTCTGGTTCTTCCACAAGTGAAAAATCCTCTCGAGAAGTGGGAATGATCGTTCACACAGACACCACTATGTCATCAACGTCATGTGGTTCACTGGATTCTTCGTGTTGGCCGACAGCTGATGAGATGATCAGTGCTGAAGACGACAGTGAAAATTGGACCGTGGAAGAGCTTAATCTGGATGGATCTCCCAGTATGAACAGCAGTAGACTGATTCCAGAAGACGCTTACGTATTGCCATTCATCACGGTTAGTTCGACATCTAGACATAGAATATGGTAATTGTCCCTGTTTTCGTTGAACTCTTGCTCTTTGTTTTGAATTTCGATCTGAAGAAATATATTGACAGACATTTGGGTGTGTACGTGGCATGCGCGGATGACAACGTAGCGTAGCGGCACTAACGATCATTGGCTGCTCTCAGAGTGTGTGATTTTCACGCTTCGCCCGTTGATTTCTCAGTCAAAATTTCAGTATCGCGTTATTCCTAGCGGTGCATGGCCATCGCAAAACGCACATGGGCGATGTGAGACGCATAGATCCTGCTCAGAGACGGAATATCTACTGACGGTCGACGTCCAACTAATGAAACTGGACTCTCCTTTTTTCTGTAACAACTCCACTACAGATTAAGAAGACGCTGATGCCAAGGTCGGCGTCAGCGTTGAACGTCGGTAGATAACTCATGACTCATGCGGCATTTACCCCTTTTTTCAGCATCCGAAAGGCGAAAGCGATTTGAAGACGTTCAGCTTTATGTTTGGTCATAGGGGTGATATTTGATCACGTAACATAAAATCGTAAATTGTTAACATAAAGGTTAACATTTGAAATGACCTAAAGAGTAAGTCATGAGCCAGCGGTTTATAGATCTACAGCAGACGCCGGCGTCCTTACTAGGAATGCGATCATACTCTGAGAGCGGCCGGCCGCTAGAATTTTACATTTGAAGTAGTACCACTTTTTCTAATCGGAGTTATGGCAACCAGTCCGAAATAACTGGTGAAACTCATTGTTAATGATTGTATTAGGTATACTGAGGAATGGATAGGGTAGAAGTAAGCTGGATCCGGGCTTCGTTGACGGACAGTGACCTTAGCACTAGGTAGTCCTTCATTTGAAGAGTATAAGATTACTTCAATCTCCAACAATCGACTGCAACATTTGATGAGTACGATCTCGCCAATCGACTCGTCATCTACGAGGAAAACTTTAGCATTTGCTGAAATACGTGGCATTATCCTTACGCAACGCACACGTCACGTCTGTGGGTATTTCTTTCTCTCCTCAACCCTTCCATAGTAATTTTTCAAGAAGCAGCAAGAATTGTGGTTTTGAACGTTTTTTGGTCTACACAGTTTGAACCATCATTTCAGGTTGAGAGAAAAGGAGAAAAGTTGCAGTTCGCCGCTAAAAAACCTCGTAAAACTTCTATGTGCTCAACCTCTTCTTCCGTGTCGTTTGCAGCAACGACGTCAGTCTCCTCACCACTATTACAGTAGTGATACTTTTCTTTCCATTTAATACACCTTTCCTAACACTTGAATTAAATTAGTGAAGCTGATCTCTCCATATCTTTCTGTAGTAACTCCTCTACAGATCAAGAAGACTTGAAGTTATTGAATTGTCGACCATTTTGCGGTTCATGTAAATGCCATTGGTTTTTTAGCAACGGTTTTCTCTTTTTTGATTAATTTTAAAATAAAAAACGGTTTTGAGTGGTCCTTATGGATATCTGTGATCATGCTGAATCTTTTGTTCGTCATTAGTCGAGTTTCTTTTCAGCGGAGTGACCGTAGAAAACGCATCCACTCCTGCCGAAAAAATGTCTCCTGAAATTCTCAAGTCAGTTAATGATTATTGCTGTCATAATCCTTTGAGGAATCTTTTTGTACTACTTCCGTTCAAAAATAGGCGATGTTTCTTTTCAGTAATGCTCAGGACCACTCGACTACTTCGTCTAACTGTGAACAGATGCCTACTCTGTCTCCAGTGTGAGTTCATTTTCCTGGTTGTTTATTTTCAATTAAACAGTAAAAGGCTTCTATTATTTATTTATTTATTTATTTATTTATTTATTGCACACGCGTGCGCCAATGAACAAAAATTATTAATACAGATTGAGAATAATAACATTCAACAGCAAGTGGATACAAAAAAAAAGTTAAAAAAAAACAGTAGCATGGAAGTTTTATTATCGATTTCTCCCTGCTATAGATTTATATACGTAAGTTAGTTGAGGTTTGGGTTACGTTGCCAAAAACTCCTTGACAGTTACGTTTCAATTCCATTATTTTATAGAGCCTCTCGTAAAACCAGTGAATCCTCTTCGGAAAGTACACCAGTCTGTCGGCCATCCAAAGCGAAACCAAAACGAATCTATATTGTGTAAGAAATTGGTGATCATTTTCTAAAGCATTAGCTTTCCTTTTGTGATGTGATCGCCAAATCTTTCAAAAATTTTGCCACGAATAAAGACAAGACCGTTGCAGAACTCGATGGTCTCCTGAGGACACACCAGTAAAAGGCGGCACCTCCAACAATGACGTTTCTGTGTCTGTATTCCTAATTCTTGTCCTCTAATTTTTTGTATTGTGAAATCGTTTTGGGGCAGAAATCAAATATTTTTAGTAACCAAATGGCTGAAGCTATGGAGCCTCCACCTAAAAAGAGCAGAATTGTCGAATCGGAGGCGGTATCATCGACTATACGAATAACGCAGTAGTTTACAAGCTTTCGTCAGTTTTCCAATTCTTTCTAAAAGAAGCCATTCCAGTAATGTACAGGATGTACCGACTAAAAGCGTTCTGACTGAAAGGACTGTGGCCGCCGGGTCTGGTTCCGTGAAAGACACAAGGTTATTTCTGTTGTTCATAATTTAATTTGAAGAATTATAGGGCATTTTAGTTTACTCTCGTTGACAATACTATTTAGCGATTCTAATTCCACAACGTCAACTGATCTTCTGGAAGAACCTGAGCTATGTGAAGTAGCCTCTAGTTCGCGGTCACGGTAAGCTCTTAATCTTTCAATTTTTATGTAGGGAGCAGTTTAAAAAATTGACAAAAAAGAGATCTTCGCACGTATTAGTTGAGAGCGATTCTCTCGCGCGCATGACCTGAACGTAGATTTGATGTTTTCTTGGTAGATCAGTATGAGGCGATTCTCATTAACATTGAGAAATGCAAGAGAAAATATGTTCTGTACCCTAAGTGGGAAATATCAAAAGCTTTGACGAATATTCTTTGAATGCTATATTATAATTCGTGACAAGTTTATGCCGCGTTCGCACAGTTGACAGACGGCGGCCGACGTCGATCTCTCCTGGATTATGTTCATGTGATAGAGGTCAAAGAGAAGCAAAAATGGCCGAATATTGGATGCATTAGTCGTTTTTGAAATCGCTTCAACTAGAAGGCTGAAAGGCGCTGGAAAGAAGGATCACCGCAGGAAGAACCTACTGGTGTGCGCTGTACATGGTCTTATCTCTTTGACCCCCGGGCGTAATGTATTAAAATGAATGGCTTTACACTTTTGCACGGTTCTGGAGCCAGTGGTTTATTATTCAACTCAGCGTATGCCCTACGAGGAATATTCTGCGGCTGTAGAAATTTTCTCTTAGTTACCGACTGTGTATGTAGCTCTGTGAAGCCTATGTACGAGTATCACACTTGTGCATTTCAAGTGAACTTTGAATTTGAACCTTTTCAGATCGCCATCAGTGGTATACGATAGTGTAGGGGAAGAGGAACAATTCGAAGTAACACCTCGTATCACTCGGTAAGTACGTTAGGAGTAATGTGAATCAGTATATTCATCCTACTATGGGCGATATGACGACCTTGTTAATTATAACCAAACAACTTACAAAACAAATTGATCTCTCATCACGCGTTGAAGTGGAAAAAGAAAGAGTTCGTATAAAATAGTGAGGTAGTGGAGAATTGTTTATCAATTCGACATGGAATGTGTTCATCGCTTAAATATTTCAAAAAAGATTCGTTGCTTTCAATTCAGGAGCAGAGCTGCAGCGATTGATTCATCGAGAAGTGAAGCTTCGGATTATCATGCGGTCGTCAGGTACATCTCAAAGTTTTAGAGATTTCTTTACGATGTGACCTTGCGAAGGAAATATTTATTTTCTAGCCAACTCCTGGTTCAACAAAGGCCAGAAACACCAACCACACCGACAGGATGTTTTCAACGTCCAGTTCGAATTCGTAGGATGCGCCTAAGTTCTCGAAGGTGAGTAGCTAGCCATCATCGAGCTTTTCGTAACAAAATCTGCTTGTAGCTTATAATTTTATGCTTTCATATTCGGACTCAACGGAAGACTTTTTTACAGTAGAAATTCATCAGAGAATGAAAGCGGAGTGAACAAAGGAAGTCCCGCAAAGTATGCTCCTTCAAAGAGGTCAGTAATATTTGTTTTATAACCTATGAGACTGAATGGTTACATTGCTGTAAGTATCTAAAAGTATAACTTGGTAAAAGTGATTGTATCTGATAAGATGAGTTTTTGGGTTCGGTCTTCAAACAAAGTGCTGACTGACTTCACCCATGTTCAGCTGTTCCGGTTATACTTGGCGAATTTCTTTTTCTTAAAGCTGTCCTGGATGAAGAGTTGGTAGCCCTTTACGAAATCAGCTTGTTATGATGTGTTTTTAGTGCTCCAATGAATCGCCTAGACTCAGAGAAATCTCCCTCAATTGACAGTACCCTACCACTTCCTAAGGTCGTTCCTTCTGTCAAGGGAAATGTTTCAAAAAAAGATTCCAACACGCTTTCAAAGAAAACTCGTGTAAGTTTCCCACAATTGTTGTTCTTTTCGAATTGCCGGAGTTTTCAGCATGTGAAGAACAGAACTTGTTACAATACAACCAAATAGTTTTTGTCACTTGGCTGAAGAAAAGTAGCCAGTATTTCAGGTTATACCGGCCATGTCGAGACGTCGCAGACGGAAGATCATCACGATGAAAAAATACAGGAGAAAAGTAATATATTTTTGTATCCACTCGCATTATCCTATTGAAATTCCAGATTAGAGCTTCTCTATAAGGATCACTAATGATAATTTATTCTCGTTTTAGCCGGGTTGAGTTCTATTTTGGGCATTTACTTTGGTATCCTGGTGGAGTAATTTTATGCTGTTCTGACCAATTGTTGCTAAGCGGTCTCGACAAAAGTCATGCTTGACATAAATGAACAACTGTTAAAGCTGTTCAGTGAGATTCAAAGCTTTTATCGTCTCGGGTGTTAATATGCCGTGACCTCTCTCGTCCGAGCATTCGTATTCGTTATTCTCTAGAAAAATAGATTGATCATAGCTGTCGCCGTGGCTAGATATGGTTATACAAAAGAGGAGGAAACTGAATTTTTGTTTTCTCTAGTCTCTTGGGTTTCTTACGATTTCTACTTTGCTTTCTCTTCGAGCAAAGCACAATTTTGAGGTTTGCTTCAATGAGTTGTTTCAGGTGGGACCTAATTCTGCCAGTATTACCCACTTTCAGCAACCTCCACTGAGTCAAGTTTTTGGGAGTCCGGTCCGCAGAAAAATAGATGTAGATGAATGGGTTCGCGAAGGGGATGGCAAATACACCAGGGAGGCTGTCGTGATGTTTGAAAAAATTCAAGAAGAGGAACAGGTGTGGAAAAGAAGTTAATTGAAAATTGAAGCGAGGACCTGTGTCATCTTCAGAGATTGAGACAGCAAAGACGGTCAGAGAAAGGTGGCATTGAGTGGGTGAACCTGGGTGGACAATACAAGATTAGGACGTGGTTCAGGTATGCCAATATGATTGATGTTGCTAAAGAGATTCTTCTTACTGGTGAGATTTGTTAATAAGAGAGTGCAGCTGCCCATTAATGAAAGCAGCTAAATGAGTGATGACATGGTTGGCTTGTAATGATAAAAGGAGTTTGTTACCTATATTGCTTGAGATATTTTCCGCATGGTTGATGTTGCTTGCATTTTTTAATATCTTTTCCAATATCTTGATCTGAAGGCGTTTCTGTTCAGTGGCAATTATCCTGCAGAATATTCTAATTTGAAGACTATTTATGTTTGTGATGGTTGCTTCTCGTACTTCAGTCATGAACCATCCCAGATACGTCACATGGTAATTTTTGATCGGTTGATTACAAATCAGTGAGATTGGAATTGGACTGCTTTTGTCATCTTTATTGTTTAAGACGAAATGTTTTTATCGTTACGCTCCCCCAGGAGATGAAATATATCGTGATAAGAAAAAGGACATATCTGTCTTTGAAGTGCGTGGAACAGGAGATCCTGTAAGGCTTTCAAGAATTCATTTAACGAAAAAAAGTTGAAAATGAAGAGAAATGCAACGTTGACTTTTCAGATGTACTGTTCCAATCTTTGCCGCCTGACAATGTTGTGGCTGGAAAATAAAGTATGATTTGCTTATGAATTCTTTTGCTTAACTGATGTTTTGGGTTGCTCCTTTCTAGGTCATCTTTATGGACGTAGAACCGTTTGATTTTTATATCCTGACGGATTTCTTCAAGGGCAGGTTCAGACCACTCGGCTACTTCAGCAGGGTTCGTATTTTTATAATGTTTTTTTAAGAGTTGGAAATAAGGAAGGCCAAGTCAAGTTCATTTGGGCTGGAATCGCGGGAACTGAAATTCTGTGCACCCAATCTTGTGATGTAACGATTTTATTTCATATTTCAGCAAAGGCAGTTCTTCACCCACAACCTTTCCTGCTTCTGTGTATTTCCTTGTTATCAGCGAAATGGTTATGGTACCTTCCTTGTGGATCTCAGTGAGGTTTCATTGCAGTCCCTTTCGGTGATCAAATTGTAGAGGGCGTAATTGCTATAGATTTCGTATATGTTATCCTGAACTAGGTGTTATCCTTCTTAATATTTTTCATAAAAGGTCTATTTCAGGTTATTTGCTGTCTCGTATGAGCGGATTGCCGGGTGGACCTGAGCGACCATTTTCGATCCAAGGAAGCCAAGTTTACAACAAGTACTGGTGCGATAAATTGCTTCATCTTATCTATACCAAAATGCTAAAGCTTGGCTGGGAGAATATGCGTCTGGATATTGGAGGTAACTTTGGTTTTACTTAGCATACTGGCATATTCCGTTCATCTCAATGCTGTTGTCATTTTTTTCAGAACTTTCGAAAGAGACAGGAATTCGAGAGGCGGAGGTTTTAGAAGCCTTAACCGGGCTGTGTAACTGCGAGATGTCAAGGTTCGGCAATTTTTCTTTGTTTTATAAAAAATATAGATTTTATCTGATTCTTCTGCTAGGAACAACAGATCACTCAATGTGAGAATCAGTGAAGATGCTGTGACAGCAATTGGAAAGTATATTGATGAGAGGAATCGGTCAAGATTGTTGGCGAGGGAAGAGTTTCTGGAACGAACGTTCAAGGTTAGAGACAGCCATGCCAGTTTTTCGTTTCAAAGTTTAGGATTAATCACGATTTAATAGTTCTCTAATAAAGGGTCGCTCATCCCAAAGATTCATTGAATTGGTTCATTTTAGGAGAGACTCAAACTCTATTCCGCAGAGGCGAATCTGTCCTAAGGTACTCGACAATCGAAGGATTGATGGTTAAGAGTGAACATAAATTTCTCTGTATATATTGAACTCCATTTTCATAGTGACGTGTAGGTAATGATTTATTGATCTCATCAATTGAACTACGGTTTCTTCAGATGTTTATCTCTATTCAAAGTCAGATCATAGGATTTTGACCTCGTAGATCTTTCAGTTCTGAGTTTCTGATACTATGTCCTCAGGTATATCTATAGAGTTATTGATATTATCGTATAGGAGTAATGTATGGGAAAAAGCTTCTATGGATATCAAAAGATATGTGGAATCTTTCGATTGGTTAGGATTGGTGATAACCGTATATTAAGTGGTTTATGAAAGAATTTATGTACTCGATTATTAGATGCAAAAGTTTATTATCAGTGACTTATTTTGTGTTGTTATTGTTGTGTCTAACAGAATAAATTTGCTACAAGTATCTACAATTCTTGTACAGAGCAATGTTAAAGAGTTAGGATTTTGATTATTGGGTCTTTAAACAGCGTCTGATAGCAAACTTGGCAGGTATTCGCTTTTGCATCCGAGTCCTTCGTTCCTTTCAAAGCTAACACATCTTCCCGCAGTTGGCGGCACCCATTTGTGGCTTGGACCTGCCAGCGTCAATTGCTGTACGTCGCCTTGACACAATGTGCCCACTCGTTCATGTCAATTCGCAAAACAATCGCACTAAGTTGCAGGTTCGCCTTCTGCTTTTTGTACGATTCAGGATGACATTGTAGATCTCAGCCTAGTGGTGGTTTCCTTAGGATCGATTTTCTTTCCGATTTCGCTTTTATTTGTAAACTTGTTTTTCTAAAAGGTAATGAAGGGGACGTCTAGGGTTGGGATTACCAAAGAGTCTTCTTCAAGGTAAAGTTTTTGAAGACTGCGCAGTTCAGACGTTCGATTTCTGGGTTTCCTCACCAATTAGTAATCAGTATGACTGGTACTTTTGCGATACTCTACATATTCGCTGCGCAGATGCTGGAAGTTTTGGAGGAAAATCAGGAAATTCATAATAAACAATATGTAAGCGACCCGTTTTAAGGCCCCGAGGAAGAGCGACTGTCAAGGCTTAGACACAGTAGGCCGGCTCTTCACGCCACTAAACACCGTGTCAGTCAGTTTATTGACCACACATCTGGAGGTACTGGATCGAAGCAGTTCACTAGTAACCAGAAAATCGAAATTAATTCTCATCTTTGTCAGTTGTAGCTAATCTTTACAGCTACCTTAACCTATTTTATAATGGCGATCTGGTCAATGTCACTCTCCTTTGTCGGGGAGTTTCATATCAATTTATCAGACTATTACTACGCTGTTGGATATGTTCGTGCTGTTTTTGCCCACCCTATTTTTGGACTTGTCGTTGATTTGAAGTGACGACCACCTCTTCCACGTCTGCAACCACTCTCTCGGACGGATTCTCAAGTAGTATAGACATTGTTCAGCTTATAAATAAGAATCTTCCTCTTTTCACGAAATCTAACCGATTGTTTAGGGCGGACCTTGCCCATGAGACTGAAGTTGTTGTCCTTGAGCTAAGAAAACCTCTTCCACGAAAAAAAAACGTTCTTGGAGTATCCTTTCAATAATGCAGCCAATTCCATGATCTCTGTAGATATTTTGTGCAGCACCCAGAAGTTTGGGCTCTTCTACCCGAACAGCATGCTGCGCTCGCCGTATTCGATCGCGAGCTATAAAGGATAATATTTGAATTCTCAGGGAAAGATGATGGTAATCGCCTCGAGACCACAGGAATTAGTGTAGGATAACTGGAACTCGCGCCTCAATCGTAATCGAAAAGTCTTGCCAGGAACGCCATTTCTATCGTCCCTGATTCGATCTTGTTAGTCCGTTGTCTGATAGTTTTGGTGTTCTGAATGTGGAACTAGAGAAACCTTTCCCCACTAATGTAACAAGCAGCGACTTTTCAGACGGCGACCTCTGTAGAACGTCGCCATGGGCGCTTTGTTGGATCGACTTCGTGGTCGTCCTCGACTTCAGCCGAATCTTATACGCACCGTATGGAATCGTCGTATGGGGTCTCATCAGGAATATTTCTACAAGGTGGGATTTTAGGTACTACAGCTGTCAAAAGCTCTGCGTTGTTACTTCTTGGATCAATTTCGCCTTCCATATTCCTGCGGGTAATCGCCCAATGAGCAACTTCCATCTCCAAACGAGAAAGCCTTGTTATGTGTGTCAGATATGACTTGAGATTAGAGGCCTATGCCAGAAATAGCACTCAAGTTCAAATTGTAAAAGGAGAAAGGTGATCCCATTGTGCTCTGCGTCTCTAACGCTAAGGAGTATAAAGTCGAGAAGGGTGGGAAGGCGGCAGGGAGATAAAATTTTCTTCATGTTTAAGGAGCTTGGGAGCAAGGGGTGGGGATGCACTTGTGTCATGCAGAAGGATGGAATGAATGAGGAACGGACCAATGGTATACTATCTCTTCAAGGGGCGCAGACAAGGTTGCAAATTTTTTTTCTTTTTCCTACCTGCAAATTACATTTCCACCGTAAAATGGGCACCCCTGATCATTATGGTTCAGACTCAACAGGTTGTGCTATGCAAGGCTTGGTCCTACGAGTGGTTTACGCAAAAACAGTGCAGCGTTTATACTCTCACATCTAGCCTTAGCGTCACCTTCTCCTTTCGCTTTGGCTAGAGGAGAGAGGTATAAAGCTCCTTGGATTATACAAGTTGGATTACCATGAGACTAACCTTAACTGGTTGGACATTAATATGTTCGAGTCCCGTGCAAAACAATTTTTTCAAGGTGTTATTGAATGTGATGCGTCGAGATGACGGTATGCGTGAGATTCTGATGCCCAAGCAACATACCGCCAATGATGCTGAATGTGAATTCGTCTTATGTCTCCTAGCCGAACGCATAGCAGCCTTCTTTCACTTCATCATTATGGTAGGTGCTTTTTAATGCTCACAAATTATTAGGTGCAGCAACGATCATCGATTTGTGGGTTATCGATCGATGGTCGCTACCGGTGTACCATTGTTGTTACTATAACTGGAGCCCTTTTCCACAATTTTCATATTTGCTGGGTATGAACCCAAAAACAACGAGAGATAACAATTATAAAAAGGAGTGTTAGTTTTTGAGAAATTACCGTTCCTCCGACTGCTGATACAGTGAAATTGCGATTAAGGGCGATCAAACTAAGACAGCCATATGATATTGGGCTGGTTGATCTTGTTATAACCAACGATCGATATATGCCCTTGGGCCCAAATTCAAATTACTTTTGTCGAATCCCAATTCTTAGAGGTCGTAGGATATTCTGCGTTGTTCACATGTTTGATGCTTGGTTACATTGAGCTATTTCACGTCTTCATTCAGGAAGAGCCGTTGGCAAACATTCATGAGCTGAAACACTCGTGTTATGCATTGGGACAGCAACACGCTGCGTACAGCAAGGAACCTTTTAAGGTATTTATACTGAATTTAGTTATATTAGAACTTAATAAAAGTAGAATTTCCGCATTCCCATCAGTACAAAAGTTTCATAGTTTGAAATTGTTCAAGAGAAAAATAAGTTTTCAATCCATTTAATGTATGGCATTACTGTAACACGAAGCGTTTACGCAAACTCCAGACTCCTTAGACTATGAACGGGACTGCTTCGACTAGAAATAGTCTTTCATGAACGTCAAATTTCTTTTGGCATTCTTGTACCAGTTGTCTCTCTTGAGTTCGTCGAACATTACTACTACTTTCTATCATTAATGTTTTTTTGTCATTAGATTTGCATGAGACGGAGGTGGTGTAATGGCAAGAGGCGCATTATCGTCCACGCATGGTCAGGGGTTCGAATCTCAGACCGACATCCGTCAAGACCAACCAAGCCTTCCGCCTTTCTGGGGTCGTTTATTCGGTACCAGACTCGTCTGGGAGGATAACAGCATTAAATTGTATATCATCGACTGGCCATCAAAAGTCATTGTAAAG